CTGGCCCTTCTCTCTTAGATTTGATCTAGTAGGAGTTGTTTGCTCACTTTTGGTCTTTACGAAAGTTGTGTTGATCGTCGAGGGCTACACTTTAATCCGAGAATCTTGGAATTTGAAGCATTTTGGTTTTGGTCTTCATCTCCTTTGGAGCTCAAACTTTGAGGTAGGGATATCCTACTCCTCTCTATGGATTTTGTCTTTAAATTTTAGTATTTTGAGATGTTGGGGTTGGTTTAGTAATTTGTGAAAGTTTGGGAGCTTTTGTGTAAATTTACAAGAGTTGGGGTTTTAACTATATAAAACCTAGATGCATGTTTGGCATGGAAAAACGTGAAAATTATGTTAAGACATTAATGAAAATGGGACCTAAGGGTTGTAATGTAGATTATGGAAAATGCCCTAATTACATTGATTGATTAATTTGTATAATTAATTATTGGAAATGAGGAATTGAATTGAGAATGTGGAAATTGGAAAGGGAAGGGGTTAAAGGGTGTAGTTGGATTATTTATCACTCACCTAGTGGAAATGTTGATTTTATATCCATTTGTTGCATTTATTTTCTGTATAGAAATAACTGCTTTGGGCTATCGATGGAGGATAGTCGTGATTGTTGTAAACAATGCATGATGATTAGGCAAACGGAAACTAGTCACCGGAATGAGTCATTGAATGTGATGATTGAAAGAACACATTAAATTTATGTGTTATGTGATGATGTGTATAATTATTGTTTATATGCATTGTGTTGTGTTGGAGGAGATAGGGGATGTACTCCACGGTTTAGGGGAAGATAGGGGATGGACCTCTAAACCGGATGTTGTTGGGAGGAGATAGGGGATGGACTCCATTGGCAGAGCTCATATGCTTATCTAGTGATGTATTGACAGAGCTCATATGCTTGTCATTGGAAGTGTGATAGTGCTCATTATGCATATCTGTGGGAGTGATGATATAGCTTGTATGCTTATCTGTTGTTGTGTATATAGCTAGTATGCTTATCTGTTATGAAATGGGAAGTGTTTGATATGAGTTATTGTCTCATATGAGTTGTTGGCCAGGTTCTGAGCCATGGTTGTAAATGGAGAATTGAAAGGAATTGGAAAATGAATGGTAATATGGACTTATATGTCATGAAAATGTAAAGTGTGATAAAGGAAAGTATCAGTGTTGGCCATCTATCAACTGACTAATTCTTTAGTCATTGTTCATGGTTGGTTTAGTGTATTTCTACTGGGCTGTGGCTCACCCTATATGGGAATATCATTTTCAAGTGCAGGTAGCATGCCACCTCCAAGGACGTAGCTTGGGAGGCTAGAGGTAGGCGGACCTTTGTTGTTTTATTTCTTGATGTATTATATGTATACTCAAGCCAAGGGCTTAATGTGTAAATGAGTTAGCACTATTTTGTTGTAACCAAGAGTTAACTTGGAAAGCTGTAAGCCGGTAGGGCATTTGCTTTTGTTGATTAACATGTAATACTTGTGTAAAGAACTACTCTGATGAATAGAAGAATGTTTATCTTTATTACCAATGCATGTCTATATCAATGGGTTTTATGTGTTATTTTGAGGGCGTGACACTACTAAATTTGTAGGAATATTTCTGAACCGAAATGCATAATGAATCTTTATATCTTTCGTAATTCGTGTCCTATTTTAATGTTCGGTAGTGCTATATTCACCAATTAGTGTACTAACTAGTATACTAACATTAGTTATGACATTATTGTTGACCCCATTCATTAATCACATTACAAATACCAAAAACCTCTTAAATTATGCCACATCATCAATTAGTATACTAATTAGTACACTAATTGGTACATATAACATTATTCTTTAATGTTGCTCGAGTGAGATTAAGAGAGTGGACCTCTAAGGCCAAGACATTAATGTTAATCTTTGTGGCAGGGAATGATCAATGAAGATGAAGTGGACTCCTTCAATTTGCCTTTGTATGCTACCTCTCCCAAAGAGATGACAAAGCTAGTAGAAAGAAATGGGTGTTTCAGCATAGAGAGAATGGAGGTAAGCAATACCAGGCCACAGAATGATGGACCGCCTATTGTGCCAGCAATACTAACGCACTATAGAGTCGGCTTAGAAGGAATTTTCACCAAACACTTTGGGAGTAACATCGTCGATGAATTGCTTGAACAAACTCTTAATAAATCCGCAGAGATTTCCTCCATGTTGGAATCAAGTTGTGTGGAAGGAGCCCAACTATTTTTGGTTTTGAAGCGTAAATGATTTGAGATCATGTCGCCTTCACCTCATCATAATGAGGAGAAATTTACAATGTGCACCCTTTAAAAAGATGCACATCGTAAAAAAGTTATGATTTTTTATTATAAAAGTTATGATTATTTGTGATGTATGTTATGATATTTTCTGGTAAAATTATGAATAATGAATTTATGGTGTGCACCCTAAAGTTAGGGATATTAATGTTATGACATTTTGTAATTTTTGTTATGACATTTTATACTCAAAGAAAGTTATATTTTTGTAGTTAAAAAATTATGACATTTTGTGTTTAAGTTATGAAATTTTTTTAAAATGTTATTTAAAATATACCATATGCACCTTTTTTAGAGTACACGTTCCAACATCTCTCTCACATAATGAAGGGGACAATTCAAACTTCTAAATAATGTAATAGAGGCTTATTTTATTTGGGAGGTGTTAGGGTTGCACACCACATACAACCTAAGTATTAACCCTTGGATTAGAAAGAAATGATTAGGACTATTGAATGTTTTAATTGTGGAAAATGGAAACCGGGGCAACCAGTTAACCCTTTCTACTCTATCTTTCTCCCTCTTCCCTCAGCAACTCTCTTTTTCATCTCTCATTCTTCTGCTATTTCTCTGCTACTCTCGCCATTTGTGTAAGGTTCATTGTGTAATCCTTGATTTCTAGCAACAACTACCAGCCTCTGTTGGGTTACATTGTTGAATCTCTACACTACCCTTGATTTCCAATAACAAGATAATAACGCATTCTCTTCAACCAGATATCAGGTGTGGAGCTCTCTCTCTCTCTCTCAATTTGCCCTCTTCACTTCAGGGATTTTCCCTAAACCCTTATCCTAACTTCAACCCCTCTAAGATTCCCTAAACCCAAAACCCCTCCATCTGCAACAATGACGTCTATCCCTTTCTTAATCGATTTTGGACTAATTAGTTTTTGTTAAGAAGATATAAAAAAAGAAAATAAAATTTGGCCTGATTTCTGGACTAAGGAAATAGACGTTAATAAAAGTTTTTTGATGATAAAAAAAAAGAAAGGGTAAAATTTGGACTAATTAGTTAAATTACAAAATTGATAAAGTTTCGTGAATCTCTCATCATAATCTTAACACTGTGCTTGGTTAGGAAATTTGAAAAGGGATTTGGAAAAAGAAATGAAAAATGTGTATGAAACTTGGTGAAATATAGAGATATTTTATTCACATTTCACATATTTTTTCCCTTTCTCTTTCCAAATCCTTTATCAAATCCCCCAACCAAACACAACGCAAATCAATCCAAACATGTGATAGAATACACAATTTTAATAGCATAGTTATTATACTGTCTATTGCATGGTTTATTGAATTGTTCACGCTTTAAAACATTAGATGAAATGAATCAAAGCTCTTGAGCAACTAACTTCCTATTAAGTGCTAGCTGTAAATTGTGCTTGTTATTTCTAGCTTCAATTCACATTCTCACTATTAAGTGTTGAGAACTTGAACTTGTGAAGTCTTGCAAATCATGGGTTTGATAGTTTTGAATTTATTTTATTTTATTTTATTTTTTTATCATTACAAAAAAATTGCTTTTTTGCGACGGTAAAATGCCGTCGCAAATACTCAAAACGCCGTCTCAAAAGGTTTTTTGCGACGGTAACTGGCCTTTTGCGATGGCAAGTGGGGGGTCGCAACAAAGGGGATTGCAAAAGGGTTTTAGCGACGGTATAACGCCGTCGCAAAAAAAAGACGACGGCAAAAATGCCTTTTTGCGATGGAAAAATGCTGTCACCATTAACGCATGAAAATTTGAGTTTTTTTGAGACAGCACTGTGTTGCCGTCGCTAAAAGGGTTATTTGTGATGGCACAAATACCGTCGCTAAAGGGTTATTTAAGACAACACTTGATGCCGTCGCTAAAGTACTATTGGCGACGACAAATGACACCGTCGCTAAAAAACTTCATTTTCAACAAATGCCCTATCTTTTGCGACAACATTACTGCCGTCGCAAAAAACCCTGGTTCTATTTTTCTTTTTGAGACGGTGTGTGTGTTGCCGTCTCAAAAAAAAAAAGAAAAAAGATGTAATAAAATTATTAAAAATATGAAAATGGCCTGTATTAAATGAAAAATAACTAAAAAAATTATTTGCATTCAGAATTGTTTTCTGCATTTCTAAAAATTATGAGCTGTGTATACAATTGTTTTCTTGCATTTCTAAAAATTATTTTCATTCAGAATTGTTGGTCTCAACTATGATTCAGGTTATCTGGCCTTGAGGAAAAGCATGCATTCACACCAGGAACATGAAATCCATCAAGCAACTTTGATATATAACATATTTTCCATCCTAAGCAATGGGGAAATAGAAAGTAGCAGCATATAAAATCACTAACAAATTTCTCATTAACCAAACCCATAACACCAAGGCTGTGTTTGGTGCCATGGAATGGGACTACATTTTTGGCAATGGACACACCCGAATGATAAAAATTTAGAGGTGCCTAAGAAAAGCATAATGGATCTGGCATTCTAACATTCCGATCACAAAACCAGCAGCACGTCCTAAAACTTGAAATCCTTTTTCTACGATTTTCCATCCTTTTCCTGCATTTTCCGTTTCCTCTTCTTCTCATTCTGAAAATTTCCACCTCATCAGAACAAAAGTGTCCATAAATACTAATTAAAACAAGTACAAAATCAGAAAGAAATTGAGAGATGCACACCTCGGCAACCATGTCACTGAAATCCTCCCGTTGACTACGCAGCTTCTCCTCCTCTTTGCTTCCTCATACCTGTGAAATGTAAAATAAATATGAATTAAGCGCCTTGTAGCTAATGTACTGATACTGATACTGACACTAAACAAACTATGAGGACTCGAACTTACTTTGCATGCAAGGCATTGTTCATTACTTCCAACTCTTCTAGTTGTAATGTGACATCAACTTTATCTGACTTCTGACCTCTAAGCAGATCAACCTGAAAAAAGAAATAACATGAACAATAAAATGAGACGCATCATTAAGCCTGTGACTCGTATGGATCAATCACACAGATTATATTTTCAGGTAAATTCACCCCAACACAGAATCTGAAAGGATTTTGTAAATTTGCTTAATTGTAAAATTGAACATGAATGATATATGATTCGTAATCCAGATATAATTAGCAGTTAGGGGAGTAGAAGATCAATGACGAAACCAAATATTTTTCTCAAAGCCCATAGACAAAACAAATCATGTATAGGCTACAACAGAATATCTAAAACTACATATATTCTTCAGTGCTCACATAGAAACTAACAAAGCATGAGTCATAGAACTAGTGGCATGTGGCCCAATTGATGAAATTAGGTCAACTTCAAAACAGAAATTTACTTGTTGAAATTTCTACCACGACTTGATCCAGCCTAGCCCACTAATAAAATATTATATATTTTTAATATAATTTGTTTATGTAAAAAATATGATCTTCAATAAATATCTAAGTTATAATCCTTGATCTTCTAGCATTATTTTCTTTTTTTTTTCTTATGAATCTCATTGAATTTCTAAACGTCAGGGGCAAAAATGATTTCAAAACATAGGTTAATCCAACTAAAATACAAATATATACAGTTTTGAGAGCTCTAATCTTGCATTCATGTCTAAAAAAATTGATTGTTTTCTCAATTTATTTCACCTTAGGTAAGACGTATTGGGTTTACCAATTGAACTGCCCATTTGAGCTTCGGTAGACACAAATCTAATATGTAGTGCCAACATAGCCCAGTCAATATCCACGCTTTAGTAGGCTTACTGATTGAACCACCCCCGTTCGAGTGTTTTTCAAAAAAATGTAGGTTATCTATTACAAACAGTTTTAATGACTAATTAATATTGGTGTTAGAATCGGTCACCAATTTAATCAACCAGTTCAGTCCCATTCGAAAACATTGCCTAATTTTCATTATATATTATGTAATAAATAATATTTATTAGGGCTAATTACACTGATCCCCCTTGAGGTATCTGACAATTGCAAAGACCACCCATGTGATTTTTGAAAGAGAGGAGATGCGAATAGTTGTAATGTAGGTTGTAGAAGAGAAGATTAAATGAGAGGTTAGTGGTATTAGTGTCACTAGCAGGGATCAAAGGAAAGAGAAATGGGTGATAGTATCATTGATTGTAGAGTAGAAAAAAGGATGAGGTAGTTAGTGGTAGCCCCAATTGAAGAGAATGTAGGTGGTAGCAACACTGCTATTGTGGAAGAAAAAAAAAAGGGGGTATATATTAGCAATGTTGGAAGAGGTGTGCCAGAGGATGTTTAGAAAATGGAAAATGTATGTTAGATGAGGGAGAAAGGATGGTTGGTTGGCCTCAGTCAGATAGTGGTGAATGTTGTGTTATATCAAAGAAAGGATAAGTGCGAGAGAGATGTATAGATAGAGAATAGAGAGAACTTGACATATGAAAAATAGCAAGGATGGTTAGGTAATTTTATATTTATGTTTTCCATTACCAAACGAACTCTGAAAAGTAATATAATTAGTCCTTGTTAGCAAGTGTTCTTGGTGTACAATATAAAAAATAAAATAAAATTTAAAAACATGAGATATCTTTTTACTGAATTTAATGCACATTTTACTGAAATTAATATATTTTTAAGGGTGAAGTACACTTATTCTCCCTAATGTCTAATGAAATTACATAAACTTTTCTTGAGATTTTCAAAATGACTTAAACTGCCTTGAAGTTCAGTTTTCAATTATAATGAACTTCCCTAAGGTTTAATGAATTGTAGAAATCTCCATGGAAGTTTAGTTCTACAATGACCTCTAATGAAATTCCAAAAACCTCACATAAAGTTTATAAAATGACAAAAACTTTCCATAAAATTTTTGAAATTACAGTCAATACCTGAATTCTGGCTCAGCACGTAAAGAAGCATACTTCAAAGGATCATTGCATGGGACAATGGATTTTACATTGAGTTCCTCCAACACATACTACAATAAAAAAGAAACAATAAGAAAACCAAAAATAAAGTAATAAAACATGGCATTCCAAAATACCAACAAAATTAACAAAACAAGGAGCAAATGTCAAAAAAGCCCAGGATTTTGGATACTAGATCTACTTGTAGATGCAATATAAAAAAATAAAAATGCAATGAGGAAGACAAGACAACTAAACCATCAAACAGGAATGAACTACAAAGATTTTCCTCCAATTTCTCAACATGATAACCAATCAAGACAGATCTCAAATGAAAATCAACATACACACAGGGATTTCTTAAGAACAAATTCAACAAAATCAACATGAATCTGATTAACATACATACACACAGATTCAACAAATTCCTTAAGAACAAACACACACAGAGTGATCGGTGCAGAATAAAATAAACAGAACAGATCAGATTCCAAAAGAAAACAAACACACAGATTCCAAAACAAACAGAATAGATGGTCCAAAACAAACAAACAGAACAGATCTGTTCGATCGGTGCAGAGATGAGAGATCAGGGAGAGAGAGAGAGAGAGAAAGAGGCTTACCTGTAAGTCGATTGGTGCAGAGATGCAAAAACAGAGAGTGAGACTGATGAGATGAGAGAGTGAGGGAGACAGATCAGATTAGAGAGATATCTGATATATATATATAAAATGAAAAAAAATAACAATCGGGGCGAGAGAGAGAGAGACAGAGATTGAGAGAGAGTTTACCTGTGAGTAGATCGGCGGTGCGATGATCGGTGCGATGAGATGAACAACGAGAGAGTCAGAGAGTGATCGGTGCAGATATAAAGAACAACGAAACGAGAGAGTGAGAGAGAGAGACAGTGATGAGTTGAACTTGAGATGAGACTGAGAGAGTGAGGAGACGATTAGGGTTTTTTCATTTTTGTTTTGTTTGTAATAGATGAGATGAGTGAGATGGTGTGAGATGGACGAACAATGGTCGTCGATGTCTGGATTCCTTCATTCACAGTCGCGAGAGAGAGAGAGAGAGAGAGAGAGAGAGAGAGAGAGAGAGAGATAGAGAGATATTTGGTAGAAATTAGGGATTTTGGTTCTAAGAGATTGGGGATTTTGGGGGGCGCGGGAATGGAAAAAAGCGGGGGAACCGAGCGGGCGTGATTGGGGAAAAAAAAATCATCATAAATGAATATTTAAATAATAAAAAAAATAAATAATAATTTTCATTTTCATCATAAATGAATATTTAATGAATGAAAAATTATTATTATTATTTTTTATTTGGTAGAAGTAAGGATAATATTTTAATGAAAAATATTTTCTATTAAGAGTGATGAGTGTGAGAGAGAGAGAGAGACGGAGAGAGAGAGAAACAAACAGACAAAGAGAGAAAGAGATAGAGAGAGAGACAGAAAAAGAGGGAGAAACAAGAGATGAGCGATACAAAAAGAGAGAGAAAGAGAGCGAAAAAAGATGAACGAGAGAGAGAATAGAAAAATAGAGAGATAGAGAGAAGAAAGATAAGCGAGAGAGACAGAGAGAGAGAAAAAAGAGAGATGAGCGAGAGAGACAGAGTGAGAAAAGAGATGAGAGAGATAGAGAGAAGAGAGATGAGCGAGAGAGACAGAGAGAGAAGACAAATGAGAGGGATAGAGAGAAGAAAGATGAACGAAAGACACACGGACAGATAGACAAACAGACAGATAGACAAACAGACAGAGAAAGAAGAGTGATGAGTAAAAGAGAGAAAAAGAAGAATGGTGGTAGTTGAATGGCATTTGCAGTAGTGGTAAATGTGGTAGAGAAGATGGGTGGTGAGAGAGAGAGATGAGTGAGAGACGAATAGGGAAAAGAGATAGAGAGACAGAGTGATGAGCGAGAAAGAGACAAAGTGGTTGCTAAAAGAGCATTTTCTTGTAGTGGATCGATAAATCGAAAGGGAGCTCAATAAATAAAGAAGAGATGAGAGAGAGAGTGAGCAAAGCGAACACAGTGAGGAAGAGAGAGAGAGAGACAGACAGACAGGCAGACCGAGAGAGAGAAGAGTGATGAGTGAGAGAGAGAGATAGACAAAAAAAGAGAGAAAAACAAGAGATGAGCAAGAGATAAACTAAAAGATAGAGAAAGAAAATGAAAAGAGATTAATGAGAGAGACATAGAAAAAAAAAAGAGACAAAGAGAGTGGTAGTGGTAGTGGTCATAGTTCCACCCATTGATTTAAGTATGGTGTTTGTTTTGAGCTTTTAAATCATAATTCTACATCCATTTTTCAAAACTCAATTCAAAATATAATCATTACTTTTCGAAACTCATAACCAAACACATAATTCAAAACTCTTTTCAAAGCTTAATTCAAATCAATTTTTTAAATATTTTAAATATTTAAATATTTTAAAAATATTTTAATTTTGTGAAAGACAGATAAAGAAGAGAGATAGAGAGAGAGAGAGAGAGAGACAGAGATAGAGTGATGAGCGAGAGAGAGAGACAAAGTGGTTGCTAAAAGTGTACTTTCTTATAGTGGATCGATAAATCGAGAAAGAGCTCGATAAATAGAGAAGATGGGGGTAAGAGAGTGAGCAAGGCGAACATAGTGAGGGATAAATAGACAAATAGACAAGTAGACAGAGAGAGAGAGAGAGAGAGAGAGAGAGAGAAAGAGAAGAGTGGTGAGTGAGAGAGAGACAGGGAGAGAGAGATAGATAGAAAAAGAGATAGAGAGAGAAAGAGAGAGAGATGGAGGGAGAGATAGAGGGAGAGATAGAAAAAGAGAGAGAAACAAGAGATAAGCGAGAGATAGACAAAAAGAGAGAGAAATAGAGCGAAAAG